ATCACTCGGTGAATATCAGAAGGCTAAAGAATATTACGAGAAAGCACTTGCCATCCAAATGCAAATTGGTGACAAGAGAGGAGAAGCCGCAGCCTACGTAAACCTAGGAAATGTGTTACGACCACTTGATGAATATCAGAAGGCTAAAGAATATTACGAGAAAGCACTCGCACTTATGATCAAAACTGGCGAGAGGTCGGGACAAGTAACATGTTACTTGGTTCTAGGAATGGTTTCTTGCGCACTCAAAAAGTATACGAATGGCGAGAAAGCACTTTCTATTGCCACAGAAATTGGTCACCGAGAAGGTCAAGCAGAAGCCTTTGGTCTCCTCGGCGATGTGTGCATTTGGCGTAATTATCCTCAGAAGGCCATGGAATGTTACAAGAAACAACTTGCTATCAGCGGTGAAATTGGCCATAGAGCTAAATTTGCACAAAGCTACCTAAACCTAGCACGTGTGTCTCTAATTATTGGCGAATATGAAAGAGCCGACGAATACCTTGAGAGAGGCCGCGCGATAAACTGTGATATTGGACAAATAGAGGTGGAGTTACAAATCCTACTCCTTTTTTCATGGTTGAGGTTCTCGCAATCAAAACGCGAGGAAGCATCTTCGTATCTTTATCAGTACATGGATAAATTTGAAACACTGCGAAATTTTCAGCATGGAAACGAACAATGTCAACTGGGTATTTTAGAAAGCTACGGAATTATTCCCTACCAGACGCTCAGTAAACTGCTATGTGCTGCTGGTAATCCTGGACATGCACTTTATGTCGAGGAGCTTCGACGGGCTAGATGCCTAGCAGACTTGGTGGCACGAAACTTTTTCGTTGAAAATCAGATCTGAGGTGATCCACAATCATGGTATGGGATGGAAGAAATTGTGAACAAAGAGCGTGACTCTGCATTCTTGTACATTTCGTATGATAAACGAAGGGTTTCTCTTTGGGTTTTGAAAGCAAACGGTGACACTTTGATCCGACAATCCGAAGAAGTCGATAACGAAACTCTCATGGCTGAGGATGCTTATGATCTGAATACTTATTTCAACAAAACTATCGGCGGCTTTGGCATTTTACCCAGACAGAAGTGCGAGGATCGGTCTTTGAACGACACCATGTCGATATTACCTGAAGATGAAAGCGAAGTAGATTTTAGAGGCGCTGAAAGGATGGCCAGAGACGCTGAAAGGATGCTTTCTGTATGTTCCAAACTGTTCATCGCCCCAGTGGCCGAACTGCTCACCGAGCCAGAAATAATCATTGTTCCCGAACGTAGCTTGTACCGAGTCCCATTTGCAGCCTTACGCGACCACATAGGCGGAAAGTATTTATCAGAGACCTTCAGGCTCCGCATCGTCCCTTCTTTGACGACTCTGAAGCTTATTCAGAACTGCCCAGAGGACTATCACAGTCAGGCAGGTGCACTAGTTGTGGGTAATCCCAAGGTGGGCAGGGCGCGTTACTGGGGAGAAATCCATAACTTCGTATCACTGGCCTGTGCGGAAAAGGAAGCAAAGATGATTGGACAACTGCTAGGTGTTCAGCCTTTGTTAA